AGCCTGCCCGGCGCCGTCCCCGCCCCGGGCTCGGAGCGCCTCCCCTCCCCCCGAGCCGAGGGGGAGGAGGGTCAGCGCGGGCCTCCCATCCCGCACGCCAGGTCTGGTTCCCCACCTTGCCTCCCGCCCTCCGTGGGTCGTGTCGCCCAGAGCCTCCCACCCCACCTGCCCTCACTCCTTGGGGATCCGGTGCCAGGCGACTGTCTGTACGCGGTAGAAGCCCGGTGCCCCTATGAGTGGTACGGTAGGTGTTTGGGGTGCAGCCTCAGGCCTGGGTCGAAGTCCTGACCCGCCTTCCTAGCGGCGTGCCTGCAGTGCTCCTCCCCAAGAAGATGGAGTAACCATGGTGCCTTCCGTGCAGAACTGGAGCCCTGGCACCCTGCGGGCTCCTGGAACATCACCGGGAATGTCACGTGGGGGAGAAACCTGGGTGCAGGGTGGGCCAGGAATGCTGACTTTGGACCCTGCCTCCCCTAGGGGCTCTTTGTGCAGTTGGTCCAGGCCAACACCCCTGCATCTCTCGTGGGGCTGCGCTTCGGGGACCAGATCCTGCAGATCGATGGACATGACTGCGCAGGGTGGAGCACCCACAAAGCCCACCGGGTGGTGAAGAGGGCCTCAGCAGAGAAGATTGTCATGGTAGTTCGGGACAGGTGAGCAGCCAGGCCCGGGGAGCCTCTCTGACCCATTCCAGCCAGGTCCCCAGGCCCGCTCACTATCCCTACTTGCCAGGCCGTTCCAGCGGACTGTCACCATGCACAAGGACAGTGCAGGCCATGTTGGCTTTTTCATCAAGAAGGGGAAGATCGTCTCTGTTGTCAAAGGGAGTTCAGCAGCCGGCAACGGGCTCCTCACCCACCACTACATGTGTGAGGTGAACGGGCAGAATGTCATTGGGCTGAAGGTAGGTGGGTGCCTGGGCCTGAGGGACTGCAGGGTGGCAGGCGGGCTCAGGCGAGGGCAGCCACGTCCCCGACCCAGTCTCGGTTTCTTCATCCTAAGGGTGCTGTTGTTTTAGTCGCACCAGGACCGCACTGCCAGCCTGGGATCCACGTGAGGTCCAAGGATGAGTCCAAGGGCACAAGGGGGCCCTGAGACCCACATGGTGACCTAGGATGTTATGGCGCCCTGGAACTCGGGGGTGCCAGCCAGCCGCGGAGCCTCAAGGAGTGTTAGAGCTCTCAGCTCTTTTCGGAGAATTCCCTTCCAGGTCAGGAAAGGTTACAGCTCTTTTGTCTGGATGAATCCCAGGTGGTTGTCTCACAACCGAGATGATTAAGGATCGAGGACACCGAAAGGGTGAGCAAGTCGAAGTTTATTCAGGAAGCAAGTGTTAGCAGCTCTCACAGCAGGAGGGGGGCCTGAGAGGGGGCCCCAAGTGGATTGCCGGGCCCCAAGAGGGTTATGGAGCCCCCAGTAGTGTTGTCGAGCCCCCAGGAAGGTTGGAGAGAGAGAGAGAGAGAGAGAGACAGACAGCGAGCGCGCCCCACTGAGGCCAACTGGGGTTGTGCTAATTGGTTGGTAGTAAGAACTGAAAATACACTAACCTAATTGGTCAGTAGTAAGTACTAAAATGTGGCATGATTGTATACAGGGCTGATGGGGAGAGGATAAAAAAGGGCCAGTTAGGAAAAAGTGCACAAAACAGAAAGCATGAGAAAAGGGAATGGGTGTGACTTTTGTACGGAGCCTGCAGCTTGCAGCTGTTTCTCCAGGTAAAATGGAGTCCTACCAAGACCCACCCTGTCTGCTTAACCCACTTCTTGCTTACTCCTCTTGCTTAACCAGCTTCTTGCTTACTCCTTGCGTTCGGTAAGACAGTGTAGAGAGCTATGAGCACAGTGCCAGGTCCATGGTAAGTGCTCAGTAAATCTTAACTATTGCTGCTAACAGAGGCCAGAGGTGTGACAAATGAGGGGTATGACCACATGTTGAGGACACAGGTACCCAGGTGGCTCCTAGCCGAGTAGACACCTCCTTGCTCTGTGTGGCACTCGTGTCTGTGTACTGGACCCTGTTCAGTCATAGGGGTATTTTAGAAAATTCTTATTCAGAAATCTGTTTCTGACCTTGGCTCATTTTTCAAGGGCATATGTGTGGTGAGTTTTCTCTTTAAAAAGCAAGAAAGAGGCTGTTCTTCAAAGAGACCAGCCCAGACCACTCTGCCTATGGAGTAGCCTGTTTTCTGTCACTTCAATAATCTTAAAAACAAAACAAAACGGCAAGGAGGAGCAGGTGGTGTGGGGTCAGTGCTGTGTACGTGGAATGGGCTTGGCGTCCTCTGGGAATGGGCCATCGACAATCACCAGTCACTTGGGTTTTGGTCCTGGAACAAGCGAAGTGGCTTTATCCCAACTGAAGCCACTTGGACCAAGGGTGGCTCTTGACCCCAGTTCTGATTTAGAGCCAGGGTCCTTCCCCTCTTGCCAGGTCCCCAGCAGAAGGGGTCTGGGTGGTGGCCTCTCACCCTTTGAAGCCAGTCTCTGCCCACCCCCACAAGGGCTACACCACACCATCGCGTCACAGGTCTGCTTCCTAGGAGGCTGCTCTGGAAGTTTGTGACGTTGTGGTCAGGAAGTCTTTCCTCATACCTGTCTAAGATTTCCCCTGCTGCATCCTCTCCCCTCCCTCTGGGATCAGACATGACAATCCAGAGGAAACCCATTGTCCTCAAGAAGTTGAGTGCAGCAGCAATTCTGAGTTGCTGGAGCTTTCGGAGATGCATGATCTGAGTCCTTCCAAAGTGTCACCACTCTTAGATCTGAACTCTTCTGGGAACAGTCACTCTAAGAGTGATTCTTTCACCCTCACTGATGGCGCAAAGCAGCATTGTGAACTCATCGGTTTTTCTACCAAACTTTGGGGTGTGAGGCTCTCAGGAACTGGGTTTGTCCCTTTACTGACCAGCTCTAGACAGCTCTGCTTCTTGAGATCATTTATCTTTTTTTTTTTTTTGAGTAGGAGTCTCACTCTGTCGCCCAGGCTGGAGTGCAGTGCCATGCTCAGGCCCACACCACCATGCCTGCTAATTTTTTGATTAACTGTAGAGACAAGGTCTTGCCAAGTTGCCCAGGCTGGTCTCAAATCCCTGGGCTCAGGCAATCCTCTCACCTCCACCTCCCAATGTGCTGGGACTATAGGCGTGAGCCACCACACCTGGCTTATTTTTTCAAAGTTCATTTCCACCTGTGACCTTACTAGTTCTAGCTAGCACATTTTCTCCCATTAATTCTGGAATAACTCAGAACACACGTAACAAGATTACATACTGTGGAAAGGTCCCTGGGCTCCAAGTAAGGGCTGGAGCTTCTCTTGTGGCCATAGTTTTAGCATTTGGATAGCCTAGCACACTTCGAGGAGACTTCTAGTTTCTTGTTTCCCCCATGATCCAAGTGGCATCTGCAGACCGGTCTCTTTTTTCCTCGTCAACCCGAGGTAAGAGAAAGAAGAGGAGGAGGATCCGCATGGCCCTGGCTTGGGTTGGGTGTGCCTTATGTCAGTGGAGGGTGCTCATTCTCTTTGTGCTTTGGGGCCAAAACCCAGGTGTGACCAAGGCCAAGGAGATAGGATGGGAGTCCCTGGGAGCCCTTGGAAGGGGCAGGAAAACTGTTTCATGAGGCCCTGTCGTGTGTTGGGCCCACACTGCTGGCCTTCAGGGTAAGGGTGGGGAGTGGAGGGCTCATTTGACCTAGGACGCCCTCACGTGGAAGCCCCACATGCGTGCTTGAGCAAGACCTTACCTGGTGCCTGCCAGGCTCTCACCTGCAGGCTGAGGGTCCCAGGCAACCCCGCCCCTGCAGGCAGGCATCAGTGGTGTCCTCTAGCAGGGGCCATGCTGACCCCTCCACAGAGGGGCTGCAGACTCGCCCCTGGCCTCTGGCCCCAGGGTGACTGCTCCCTCGCCTCCTCTCCAGGACAAAGACATCATGGAGGTTCTGGGCACGGCTGGGGACATCATCACCCTGACCATCATCCCCACTGTGATCTATGAGCACATGGTCAAAAAGTAAGACGGCAGCCCTCCTCTGCTTCTCCCCCCCTCCCCTCCCCGGGCGTGCCGGGGCTCAGCAACCTGCTTCCCCAGTGCTGACGTGGGTCTGGACTCAGCCTGTCCCTTCTTCCCTCCCCACTTCCTCCAAGGAGGCTGGGAGTTTCTGGGGATTTGAACTATGAGTGAAGGCCCACTTGGCAGGCACAGGCTAGGGGTGGGATGGGGCTGGGGAGAAGGAGCTGCCAAGTTTGGCCACTGTCGTTGCTATGTCCAGGTTGTCCCCAATCCTGCTCCGCCACACCATGGACCACTCTGTCCCAGACATCTGAAGCCACGGGAGGGCAGCCCAGGCCCTCCCACCCTCCAAGAAGGACAGCCGCCCTCGGGTGCCAGTTTGTAGCCAGCCAGCTGCCTGGGGGTGGGGCCATCTTGAGGGGGTACTCCAGAGGGCGAGTGTTGGATGGCATGGGTCTGTCCTGCGTGCACACGGGCCTCCCCGGAGCCTCACACTCCTGGTGGGGCCAAGGCTCGGGCAGGGCCCACAGGCAGCTGATCCTCCATGCTGGTTTAAATGCCAGGCATGTAGGCAGACCGGCTAAGCACTTCTTAAAGCTGCAACTGGGCCCCTTCAGGACTTGGCCTCTTCCAGGAAAACAGACATTTTAAGAGAAGAGAACTACATTCTTTGGGTGTGAACTTTTTCCTTGCCTTTACTTACTTTTTGTCACAGGCTGTATAGTTATAATCCTCTATTGTCTTTCGAATAAAGATTGGACTTTAAACAAAACCCATTCCTCAAAGGGCATTGAAAATACCCAGTCCCCTGATGCAGCAGGGCTGGTTTCTTTTAAATGGTGGTGAGACCAAGGCCATTTCTCTGCGTTGCTTCTGAGAGCTGTGATTTGGCTCTTCCCCTGTCACATGCTGCCTGCCAGGCTGGCACAGGGATGACTGCAGCCCAGGACAGGGTGGGGCTGTGGGGCAGCAGGGCTGGGAGAAGGAGCGCTGGCTTTGGGGTGCCCTGCTGGGTGACCGTGGCTGCTTCTGCATCTGTAGAGTGGATATGAGGACCCGTTTTGGGGGTGTTGGGAAGATGAAATGTGACGTGCTCACAGTGTGCAGTCAGCTGTCACACCCAGGCGCAGAGGAGGTGGTTCTGGACCCTGTGTCCGACCCTGGGAGGGCAGTGGGGCCCCTATTTCACACTTCGGAGCCTGGAGGGGCTGAGCCAGGGCACTCAAGAGCCGGGCCGTGGACACAGGCCAGTGTGGTCCCAGGGCCTGTCCCAGGGCTTGTGGGGACTGCTTCCTCCACTGGCAAGAAGAAAAGGCTCCCTGCTTCCCACCTGGCTTCTCCCTGTGTGTGTTGTGACCCCTGTGCTGGGAGAGGGCAGCGTGGCCCCCCATTGCCCCCCTTAGAAAAACGACACAGGATAAAGAACATAGGCCAGGGGTCTCGCTGTGTTTCCATGCTTTAATTCACAGCTGTCTGCTGTAGGTACAACTCTGTCTGAACAAAAGGACAAAGGAGACAAGAGTCAAGACCCCGCCCACCTCCCCATCCCCTGAATCCTCTGTCCAGGGATGGCCTAATGTGTGAGTGCACATGACCCATTTGCAGGTCAGGGAGGGGCTGGGAGCTCCCTGGGCGGAGGCCCCAGAAGCCCATGGTTTGCCCCACCCCTCCCCCAAGCGCTGTCAGATACCCTGTGCTAGTGGCAACTGGGAAGGGGGTTTCAGTGGAAGCTAAGTTATCCCCTTGGGAGACATTGGTAATCTAACTGCTCAAGCCCAGCTCTGTGCAGAGCCAGGCCCAACTCCCAACTCCTGCCTGAGCCTGGGTCAGACAGCGGAGGGGCCTCCAGGGCCCAAGTCCTAGAACTAAGGACAAGCTGCTTCTGGCTGCCCGCTGGGCTGCAGAAGGGGGCTCCTGGGGACACTGATCCTCAGGACCTAATCAGCTCCGGACTGAGGCTGGAGTGAGGGAAAGCCCAAAGGCTTCTGCTCCAGAAGCCAAGGGCAGGAGGGAAAGCTCACAGCCCAGCGAGAGGAGGCATTCGGCAGGAAGGCGAGGGGAGCTGCGGGGGTTGCTCTCTGGAAGCTTCTGCCGTGGCTCGGCCCTCTCCAGCCCCTGTTCCGGCTCACTCCACGGAGCTTGGAGCCTGAGCCCACAGGCTGCCCGCTCCACCACACGGGTAGCCAGTGCCTTTGCATAGATGCGCAACCCTGAGCGCACACACACTCAGGAGCTGGGCCAGGGATACCGGCCAGTACGGTCCCAGAGCCCGTCCCAGGGCTGGGCGAGGAACTGCTTCTTCCACTGACAAGAAGAAAAGGCCATCGAAGAGAACCCCCTGAGAGAGGGCCCTCGATGCTGTGGGCTGGGCCCTCCAGGCCCACCGGGAGGGTCGAGGGCCACAGCAGGAGGAGGGGGTGGCAGCTGGCCTGCTCACCTGCTCCAAGGCCTGGGGCCGACCACAGCCCGGCCCTTCACAGGGGGCTTCTCCAGCGGGGACAGAGTGGACTGTGGCCCCAGCCCTGCTCACGTCTACCAAAACACAAGACACAACAGGAAGGCCATAGACGCAGGACGCAGACAGGAGCAGAGGGTCTATGAAGCTTGACTAAATTCCAGTGGTGAAAAATAGATAGGCTTTATGTTGTCAAATATAGTTCATACATTCCTTTTCTCAGCAAAGCTTTAACTACTTCTAAGGAGACACTACGCAGCTCCGTGAGTACACGGCACAGGAGGCTGGGTCCACGGCCAGTCCCGGCCCGGCTTTGGATTGGCTTTGTCCACTGCCCCCTCCGTGGCATGACCCCGGTGTCCTGTGGGGGCAGCCTGGCCAGACCGCAGACATCGGATTTGGTTCGGCTGGGGTGGAGGCGCTCCACAGAGGATGGCTAGTCTGTAGTCCCGAGGGAGGTGGGGGAATTTTGGAGGCACAAAGCGCGTGGCAGAGGGGTTCTCACCCCGACGGCTGGGCTGGCCACCCACTCCCAGTGCATGCAGGTGCCCCGAGGGGAGGGCACAGAGTGGAAAGGCAGAGCCCATGAATCAGGCAATGGCTGTCGGGGCACAGGGGTGAGGACAAGCAGCCTTGGCAGAGAACCAGGGTGGTCCCTAGGCCAGAGGGTAAGATAGGGTCCCTCCAGCCCCCTAAATGTGGGGCCAGCCTCTGAAGAGTGGGTGGGATGACCAGGTGAGTATAATCCCTGTGGGGAAGAGGAGTGAGTTTATTTTGTAAGATAATAACAGTAATAAAAAGGTTAGCAGCTTGGCTGGGGGACTTACATGTGGCCCCAGGGAAGGAGTGGGGGACAGTGTACCTTCCCAGGCCCCTGCCTGCCCTGCCACGCCCCTGCCTGGGAGACACAGCCCAGGGCACCCTGCTTTGGCCTGGACAGACATCGTGGCTTCAATACCCACCCTGCAATTTTCCTGCCACAATCCCCATGCTGCAGAGGCAGGTATGTCTAAGGCTTAGGAGCCCTCATCCCAGAAGGCGAGCAGTCTCACCTCTGGGGACCTAGGGTGGGAGAGGGCCTAGCCCCAAAGTGAACATAGTGCAAAGCAGAAGTTGGGCCTGAGACCCCGAGAAGCCCAGGGATGGCCCCAGGCAGTCATGGCCTCTGGCTCTCAAACAAGCCGAAGGTTCCTGAGTCCAGTCTGCTCCCAGCCTGCAGACCGGACGGCCTCATCTCGGAAGGCTGGAGGAGCGCCCCGGGGGCTCCCACCTGTGCCTCCTCTTCTTGTGCCAGGAGCCGGGGCTCAGGCAGGTGTCCCGCCTCAGCACTGAGCTTGGGGGCCAAGCTCCTCACAGGAAGGACGACGGGGCACACCCAGACACATCAGGAGGAGATGGACGATGGGAAAGGCTGGGCTGGACAGAAGACACAGAACCCAGCTGCCCCCTGCCACCTCACCCAGCCCCGCCCTTCTCCAGCCAGCGGCTTGACTGTGCTCCCGAGTCCCCAGGAGGGGAGCATTCTGGGAGGCTGGAGCGCCCCATGCTTCCAGGCCTGGCTTCGGGTCCTTGGGCCAGTTATCTGCACTTTGGGCCACAGCTGCACCATCTGAGGAGGTAACACTGGCCCAGAAGCCTGGGCGGAGGGCAGGCGGCTTGGAAGAGAAGGCTTGGAGTGAGCAGGGCACTGGGCAGGACAGTGCAGGGCAGCGGCTCCAGCGGGCGACTCCAGCCCCACTTCCCCCAAATAAAGATGGCCAGAGACTTCCTGAGCGGGTCCGCCTGTCCAAAGGGCCGGGCTAGGGGGACCCTCACCACCTCCTCTCGCTGCGGTTTGTCCGGACAGAGTGCCTCCCTGCTTTTGGTCTCCTTCCTTCTCTCTGCAGAAGTTTCGGGATGCCTCTCCCCACCCCCTACTCCTGCCCGACACACTTAACATCTTGACGACAGACAGTTCCACACCCAACACTAAAGAAATGAGAGGACACCCGGGGAAATGCGAGGGGAGAGCAGCGTCCCTACAATCAGTGGTCAGGGCAGGAGGCGCTGCCTGGGCCTCAGAGCTGGGAGCTGCCAGCGGGGCCGGGGCCCGGCGGGCTCAGCGAGCGGCAGCTGATCCTGCGGATGGAGTGCAGGGCCACGGTGCAGCAGCCCCGCAGCAGGGAGCTGATGTTGTAAATGGGCTGGCCCTGGCGCCGCTGGGAGCGGCAGAGCCAGGCCACCGTGGGCACGGCCGGCACCACCACGG